TCCACTTGCTAGATCAAGACAGGTGAACTATTGAACACTATTGAAGGTTTTCAAAAGATTATCTACAATCAGCATAAGATAAATATCCTTTTCAGTAATTACATTAAGTTTTCTATAATCAATATAGAAGTGTTGCTTATTATTTTTCTTGAGCACTATAACAACAGAAGAAGACCAGAAGCTAGTGATAGAACTGATAATTCTTCATTGCAACATTTACTCAATTTTCTTTTTGATGAATTCCTATTGGTCAAGTAAGGCTTTATATAGTCATTGTTTGATTGAAGTAATATTTTCAGTATTAATATTATGGGTAACCACAGTAGTCCTTCCTAGATTACTTGTTTGGTCTTCTTTGAAGATGTGATCAACAAAGACATTCTTAGAATCTGATAGGATTTGTTGAACCTCAGCTTGATCAAAATTCTAGTAGATGGTTCAGGAGAGGATTCCTTAGGTTCAAGACAGTCGGAAAGAAAAATGACAAGGTTTTCATTTTCAGATTTAAGAACAAGATCATATATATAGGCCTCCTATTCTTTAAGATCATTTTCAGATTCATATTCAATTTCATCCAAAAGTTTATTCTCATCATCCTCATAGTTATTATTACCTTGTGGAAGATATGGAGGAATATTAGTATAGTGGGTAGTTCCTATGATAATAGTTTTACTCATATAAGTAATTTGAAGAGTACAGTTCTCAAAATTCCAATTTGCTTTCATATGATTCAATCGATTAGTTCTTAAAAGAAGGTTCTCCTTATGTGACTCAATTATTTATAAGATTATTAGTACAATTAAATCCCGAATAAATATTTTCAAAGAAGTTATTTGTCCAAGAGTCTTGGCTCATGTACTATTGATAGTAATTACAATGATTTTAGACTTGATGTCAATTTCCAATCCAAGTTTTCTCATAAATTTATCAGTGATAATACTAATAGCAGCATCAGAGTCAAGAATGGCCATCAAAAGATTTTCTTTGACATGGATATAGCAACTGACAGCTGTGATTTTTCTTGAGTTATCAAGATAAAATAATTGGTTTCTATAGGTACCTTAGATCACTTAATAATTTTCATTAAGTTTTTGCATTGATTAGGATATTACAACATTTGTTCCAGAGTAGCTTTGGTTGGAAGATTTAGAATATCTTCAGATATGTTTAGTTGAGCAGTTGATTTACAATATATGATTGAACTTTGGTTTTGGGCCTTTTGGGTTTGATAATAGGAGGGGTTTCAACCATTTCAGATTCAGAATCATGGATTTTTCTTAGTAGGATTCTAGAAACTTTTCTGATGTATAGATTTAATTCCTTATTTGATTCAGATTGTTTTTGCTTTTGCTTGGCCTCTCTTCTATTAGTAGTATAAAGTTGATTGCGCTGACCAATATAGATCTACTCTTTATATTCAGATTTATTGAATTCCTCCTCAGATTCCTCAACAATAAGATAGTTTAAAGGTTTTCTGGACCTGGAGGAGTTGTTTTGGACCTTTTCTGATATGTATTCTCTGGTCAGATGTCCTAGTTCATTGCACTTTAAATATACAAGTTGAGTAGAGTTAGACTTATTAATAGGACTTGAGTTAGGCTGTTTTGGGTGATGATCTTATTTTTCTACTTAAGCAGAAAGAAGTTTCAATTTTTTAACCAAGTTCAATTGAAGTTTTTCAAACTTTTTGATAAGAGTATTCATAAGGTTTTCAGATTTCAAAGAAACCATTTTGAAATTCCTTGAGATAGGAGCAAAATTGTATAGTTTTTCATTATTGTTTATGTCCTAACTATTTTGATAAGTTATTGCAAGTTTATGTGTAGTAGTTATACTATTAGGATTGTTTATGAAAACAATTGGAGCCAAATATTATAGCAATTTCTTGATATAGTAATGGAGTAGTTTGCTAGAACTTATATCACCTTCAATATTGATCCTTTTAAGAAGTTTTTTAAAAGTGACATGGTAAGTAGTTATAGATTTGATTAATTCTTGCCTATGTTTTTCAAGATTATATGTTTATTTATTGATTCATCGTTGAGTACAAAACTGCTTTTTGAATTCCTCAGAAATGGCCTCCCCTTTTATGGTATTAGCATCAATATTATTGTTCTTAAAATATGTTATTCACCATTTCTCAGCTTTATCTTTAAAGTGAACATTGAGTATATAGATCAGTTTTTTGCCTTCCTATTGATTAACCATTATGACTTTTTTAAAGGAAGTCATCTAAGTTATAGAATCCTAAGTTCCATCATCAGAGAAGTATTTCACTTATAGTATATTGAAGTATGAAGGCAAAAGATATTGTTTAAAGTAATCATAGATGTCCTTGGATATTGTTATCATTGTATAAATATATGTATTATTAAGAGAGATAGATATATGAGATAAAATAAAAAAAGAAATAGAAATAGAAATAAAAAAGTTAAAAAGTGATTCAAGATATAAGAATTTGTTGAAAAATAAAAGGTTTTTGAAATAATCATAAGTTTTAGATGGGCTCTGAGCAAAGTGGGCTATCCAAGATATACAATCAATAGGTAAATTAGATAGTTCAAGGAAATTAATAGTAAAAAAATTAAATTGTGTAATAACAGATAAGAGTTTCAAATAAATGTTGTCAAAAAAATAAATATGTATATATTGGATAATAAAAATTAATTTTTTAATGGCAATAGATTCAAAATAAAAGGTAGAAGTAGAAAGAATTTGATTAAAATAATATTGAGTCACAAAAGTATAAGAAGTAGTAATGAATTTAACTTTAAATCAATTCCAAAAGTTTTTGAAAATAGAAAAAGATTCCCAGAATGGGCAGCAAATTAAATAAGAGTTGTCAATATAAAAAGGATAAATCTGATTAATGTTGATGGTTGTATTTGTTTTGTGGAAAGTATTATGTATACTATTAGTAATAAAATAGTTTTTTAAACTATTTATATAACAAAATTAAAATCCTTTACTAAACTTTGAATTCCTGAATCACTTTCCAAATAGATATCTCTAATACTGAGCAAGGCTTCCTAATTGTTTTTAGAAAATAGTTTACTAAGTAGTAAATTTTATAGTTATCATCAATTTGTCAACCTATCCAATAATCTTTGAATCAAATAGACAGATGGAACAACTATAGTAGTAATCCACTTTAAGTTGAGGGAAAATACCTTGGTTGTGGTATACTAAAGTTGATAATTCAAGGATAGTAAAGATTATATAAACATGTTGAAAGAGACTTTGGGTGATTTGGTTTAATTAGAAGGTTTATTAGAGATATATAATGTCAAGGATAAAAAATTCAATAGATAAAAACTTGAATTAATTGTTTTGAATAGCTAATCTTTATGTATATAATTGAATATTAATTATTTAATAACCAAAGTGATCAAAATGATCAAAGTAACCAAAGTAACCAAATCTGTCAGATTTAATAAATTAGGTCAATATATCAGATCTGCTCACTTGGGTAATCTACTAGTTAAATATAAATAAGATATGATAATTGAATAAAGAAATTAAATAATGCATATTATATAAATCACTATTTTGCCTAATGATTGGATCTATCTTATGAACCAATGAGATACATCTTGCATTATATATGTCACATAATCTAAAAATAGAACCAAAGTAATATGATAAACAAGAATTATAGATAATAACCAAAGAGAAATATAGTTATTAATTAAGGCTAATACTATAGATCAAGTTTTATAAGGTCAATAAGATATGAATAATAAGTCTTTAGGTGATAAAAAAGCCACTATTTATTCAAGTTGAAATCTTTTTCTTTTATTATTTTAGTCAAGCAAAGTTTAAGACCAAGGTCTTTTTTTCATCCTAGTTAAGTAATAAGATTAAATGATTTCTAGTCTATGCAAAGCTTTAATTCTTTGATTATAGTTGAGAATGTGTTTTCCTAGAAGTTGTTGAAGAATATTTTAATTAATGAGCATATCATGCTACTCAAATAAAAATATACTTTTGTTTTTAATTAATTAATAAACTGATGATCTAGCTTTGCTATGAGTATTAAAAAAAAATTGGTTTCTTGATTCTTTCTTCTTCTTTAATTGGATTTATTTAATTTCAAGATTATGAGATCAATAAAATTTGAACAATATATTCTTATGCTATTATTTTTTTTTAAATAATATCTTTTTATTTCTATTACTCAGATTAATAAACCTTTTAAGAACAACTTTTTTTTAGTTTGATAATAATCAAGATAATAAGTTTTTAAATAAAATAGATGAAAAATATTAAGTAATCAGTATAAGACTTAAAGATATAAACTGAAAAGATATAGTCTGAAAGATGATAAAGAAGAAACTATCAAGACATAAGTTCTCTATATAATCTAAAAAAGAAAGAATATTTCAAGAGAATCTATCTTATTGCAAAAAAATTAAAAAAAAATTGGATCTTTTAAAAAAAACAAGATTTTATTTTTTTTCTTTTCATTTTCTTATAATACATTTATATATTTTTATATATATCTATTTACCTTTCATATCCCCTTCCCCTTATATAGTTTCCTATTAACCAGTGGCTTGATAGGATATATAATAATAACAAACTGTTGGCAATAATAGTAAAATTAAAAAAATGTTTATTAAAAATTCCTATTGAAGTAAAATAAATATTTAACTATAATATTTTCCATTCTGCTCTGATGAATATGTATTTTGTTTTCTTTGAGATTAATAAACTACTATTTATCCTGACTGCGGGTAATTAAAAAAAAAAAACTAACTTTAATATTACAAATTTCAAATTAAAACTTATTATAATATTTTTTATAATATTATATATACAGTATATATACAGTAATACCAAATACGTACTTTACGCCACAATTAAGATGGAGATTGCCGATATGTACAAAATTAAATACTGTATATAAATACGTACAATATTTTTTGTATTAAAATAATTAAGGATGCATACTATAAAATCGATCAGTATTTTTGCTACACTGCTTTGTCTGGCCTTAGTGATATTATCCTTGAATATTATAACATTCTTTCCTGAAAGTTCAACGTCATCAAGTTCAGAGTTATTTACGGAACCACAAACGAACAATTCAACATTACATGCAATAGACTCGAAGTCACAGGCGGCAAATTCTTTGCCCGAACCTACTAAACCATTGCCTATCCTCCCACTTTCTTTTAATTCGTCGTCGATAAATGTAGAATCACTATCCCTGTTATCTCCCCCATATACATTTCTTCAATCCATCAACACCTCCAAAAATCTAATATTTATTGGTGATGTCCACGGTGCACTTCCTGAACTCAAATCACTATTAACGACTATCAAGTATAATCCTGCCAATGACCATTTAATCTTCTTAGGAGATTTAGTAGCTAAAGGTCCGAGTTCATTAGAAGTTTTAGAATACGTAAGGAAATTAAGTGAGAATGGAAACATTGATTGTGTCCGCGGAAACCATGATGACAAATTGTTAAGATGGAAATTTTTCTTGGAGGCACTTAGTACTACGGGAATTCATTTGAATGATTACGTGAACAAGTACGAATTACCCAAGCATCTTAGGTTAGAGAATGAGCATATGAGATTGGCAAGGTAAATAGTTATTCTCAATTAGTCAATTGAAGCGGACATACAGTATATGTTAATACTTCGGTTTGTTTGCAGTGTTATGGATAAAGAATCATATGAGTTTTTGTTGTCGTGTCCAATGGTTATCGAATTTCCTGATGAAAATTTATACGCAGTTCATGCTGGTCTCTTACCTAACATATTGCCCAACGAACAAGACCCAATGGATATAATGAACATGGTATGCATTTTATTTTACATATACACCAACCGCTAAATTCTCACTTATTTTTTCACTATTATCGATAGAGAAATATAAAACCCGACGGTCATCCAACCAAAAGTAAAAAACAGGGCAAGCCATGGTCCAAATTTTGGAATTTCTTTCAAAGTAGCTCTTCCACACCAAAATATATTGTATACGGACATGATGCATCACGTGGACTAACAATAAAAGAGTATTCGTTCGGATTAGACTCGAAATGTGTTGAGGGGGGGAAATTGACGGCATTGATGTGGAATGAAGGGCGAACAGTGAAAAGTGTAAATTGCCAGAATTATTTGAGTTAAAAATTATTCATTATATAAGTCCTTTGTTCATACTATAATTTCGTATTTAGAACATACTATATATTCTATTATTATTATGTAATGAGTTTGAATACCTACGCGATATATCGAGATATAGCATTGTGAGATTATTTCAATAAACATTAAGGCACTATGTATGTTTATTTTTCTTTTTTATTGTTATACCATTTATCTCTTCTTGTAATTTGATCTATTTTATAAATTTCATTTCTATTTCTATTTCCAAAACTTCCTGTCCTTTTAAATAATTGGAAATTTTGTCTGGTATTCTTTGGTTTCTTGAATATGTGTAATCTCTTTGTAAAATTTTATAATCATGATCCTTTCTTGATACATACATAACTCATAATTTCTTGTTGTATTATATTATAACCATTGTTTTCATATCTTCTTGTTCTTTTATCCATTATGGTTGCCATTAATTTAGGATATGCTTTTATTGAGTCAATATTCTATAACTTTTGATTACCTATATCATATTTGCTAATTCTTCTTGTTTTGTACTGTTTATAAGTTTATTAAATTTTAATTATATATTATAATCTTAATATATTCTCTTGAATCAAAATTTATAGTATATATTTTATCAAATATATTATCTTTTTTTTATCTTTGATACTAAGTTCTTTTTATTTAAAAGATTTATTCTTTTGTTTGTGCTATTTATATATTATTTGCCATATTACTTTCTATTGAATAATAGTATTAATAGTTTATTAATGTTTTAGATTTTTCATTTTCTAATATACAATAATTTATTATAATATTCTAATCTCTTTTATTAAAATAATATTAAATAAATTATATTTTATATATTTTTATATTTATATAATGAATAAAAAAAACTCTTTTTTAAAAATTTTGAATTGCAAAAAATTTCTTTATTAGGCAAAAATATAGAAAGAACTCATTTCCAGTTACAAAGTAGCAATCTCCCTTAAAATAGCCTCCACAAGGCAACTGAGAAGTTCAGAAAGAAAAATAATATCCAAATATAATATTTATAGAATTAGCAAGAATAATGGTAGGGTCTTAAAGACAAAAAGAACAATACTTACTTTATAACTCAGGTACACTTCCCTTAGAATCAGAACAGTACTTTCAAAGAGATTAATAGATAAAGGAAAGGTAAAAGAAATGGAGAACACAACTATACAGTCTAAGAAAATAGAGATAACAGAAACAAGGCAGATCTCAAAACTAATTGAAGCCCCAGTAAGCAGTAAAGTACCATCCTCAATCACAGTCTATGAGTCTGAAAACAGGAGCACTTAAGAGTCACAAATCCAGGACAAATAGACAGACATTATCAGTCAAGTAGAATACAGTTATGATAGTCAAAATAACACATGTGAAAGATCTATAATACCACAAAACTTTCAAAATTAATAAAAGATATTTAAGCCATAGAAAACCTTCATTAATCTGAAAAAGGTATCAGGATAAATATCTATAAAGAAATTATAATTCATCAGACAGAAAATATGACACCTTTACTTCTTGAAGTACATAAAATACAAATATCCAATCGAAAAGTCCAAATTACAGATATTTTTGATAATCAGAAAGATATATAAAAAGCATGTGAATTGGAGATTCCAGATTATAAAAACACCAAATTCAGAAAGATCGCTTCATTGGGATTTCAAAAAAGCAATTCCTGTACTATTTGGGTATAGAATATTCTAATTCTTTATCAAAACTAACCTAGTAGAGTTCTTCAATGAATAAATCAGTATTGACTATATCACCTTATAGAGAGCAGTGCTTTTTCAGATAGCAAATATCACCTTCTCCAATACATCAGACTACATAGAGATTATTTAAGACTGAACACTCACAAAAGATTTCTACTTATATAGAATCTTCCCTTACTATAGAACTCATAAAATCAAGGAACAAAAGAAATGTTTCAGTGCATACTTACATATCTGCCACTAGATATAACAATAGCAGACCTGATAGTTACCATCACTAGTATGAAGGCAAAGTCAATCTATATTCCTCACAATAACAACAATTAAGCTAAAAGATTCATTATTTTTATTTTCCAGAGTAGAGAAGAGCTGCTAAATACAAAATCAATAGTCCCTATAATTAAAGGAATTCAAACTCAATAGGTTAATTTGAAACAAATAGTGTCTTATTTGTAGCTAATTAGAATGCAATATGTATACATGTTCTGATAACACTGAATTTCCTTCTCAAGACAATATACCAACATGTTTAATGACTCTAGAATTTCACTACAATCCTGATATAAAACAAACTTCAACCCTAGTATTAATAGGAATTCTAGAACAAATGAAATCCCTAAGAGCTATGCAAACATTCTGAAATATGAATGGAGTCTAAATATTAGCCAATATAATGAAGATATCTGGCAGATCCTATCAACAATCCAGAAAAAGATCAAGAAGATATCTGGCAGATCCTATCAACAATCCAGAAAAAGATCAAGAAGATGAATAACTCACTTCAAGACCTGAATGAAAGAGTTGATACCTTAGAACAAGAGTGTATCAAGTGATATTCAGAAAGCATAGGTGAACTCATAGAGAAGTTAAAAGAGCCAATACCCATCAAAAGTAAGAAGCATGGTTCTGAAACAAGTACAAGAATTCAAGACATCAGGAAAACACAGGAAGCATATCAACAATAGTTCAATAAAATGGGCTCAATAATAAAAGAAACAATCAACTTTTTTAAGACCTTTCAACAGACAGTTCCCCAGGACACAACATATTCAATAATATGATAGACACTATCCAGGATTATCCCTAGAGAGACAAAAGCAGTAAAACAAACAATATTTTCCAAGCATCCAATCTCTTATGAACAGACAATCCAGAATACTGCTAAACTCTCAAATAAAAACATCATATTCTCCAACAATAAATTAATAACCAATCATTCAATCTGGACAATTGCAATATATAACATATAAGATATGGTAGAAAAGAATAAATACAAACTATGAATAAAATTATGTATAGAGAATAGATAGAGATCATAATAACTATAGAGATCAATGGAGATATGAACCAGGTCAAATACTGGAAGCAACAAGGATACTAACTAATAATCTCAGTGAATCCCAAGAAAAAGATTGAATATGAAGTATGTATTGCAATCCATGAAGACATTGTAGATAGAATTTACAAGAAATTAGAGATAAAGAGTAGAGCAATAGTAATAGATATGGCATTCCTAGGGAAACATAAACTGAGTATAATAGGAATATACCTCCTACCATAAAATAATGATAGAAGAGAAAAGACAGCAATAAAGAGTATGATCCAGAAGTGAATAATACAAACAGGAAAGGAGACATTACATATAGTAATGTGATCAAATTTATATTTGACCAGTGTATCCAAGTGGAATTGCTTTTAAAGGGGCAATTCTCAAAGAAAGAATTAAAGAAACAGTTTATAATAATTAAAGAAATATTCAAGAAGAGATTCACCAAGAATCCTTTAAAC